GTGGCTTTACCTCGCAAAGTTTGAGCATGCTGGCAATCTTTGGCCTGGTGTACACCGGTAGAAGGCTGATCCTGATTTTTCAAAGACATTCTGATTTCTCTTGTTGGTCACCTTATGAATCATGTGACTTTTCTTGTACTGCTGCACATTTTCCACGCGAATTTATTTGCAAAAGTCCTTTCGCAGCATTTTTGTGGGTACCTTTATTTTATCCTACTGGCTCGGTATTTACCAAAAAATTATTCCCCTCAACATCGGTGGCAAGTAATGAAATTGGAGAACTTATATAATGACGACGGTGACCCAGAGGACAAAGCTTAGTAAAAAATGAATTTGCATTTTACCTTCGAATTTCGCAATTGTCTAGATCTGTTCCGTTCGCCTATCGGGCTTAAAACTTGCTCAAGCTAAATATGTAACGCCAGCGTTCAATTCCAAATGAAAATAAGAAAAATTAGTCGCCGTCATTCGTGTTCTCCAAAATACGCAGAACTTAGTCATTTCACGTTGTTTTGCGTAGGATCGCAAAGAAATGTATAAAGATTTATAACGCAGATGCACCGAGCCATTGTTCTACTCGTTAAACCTTTTGTTTGGTGGCGTTCTCGTTCCTGTTGCCGTCGTAGCTTACTTAAGCTATTTAATGTTGGCGTCGAAACGGCGGCTCGGTATAAATCCACCACTAGCAGCCTCCACGTAAGGGAAAACACTGTCAATTAAGTCCGTTGAACACGGAAAAAGCTTACCCATACAATATCTCATTGCAAAGCCAGCTCAGTTCGCTGGATGTAAAGGTGGTACGAGCCCATCAGCTTCACCCTTCACCATCGTGTTTTCCTCTGTACGACGAAGTGTTGGTAAATGACGATAGAGGAAGAAAAAATATACACCTTCACAAAAGAACAAAACTGTAGATATGAAACCGCAGATCCCAGACGTTTCCAACTTGTCAATGTAGTATTCTTTCCCTCTGGCAAAGACAACAGCAGAACCGATAAGTAAGGCTAGGGCGGCCAGAAAACACCCAACCATACCAAGGATTGGATGCCTGAGCACTGCCGGGAGCTTCTCGAACACGTGAACTATGCGGAGGATGATGTGCAAGACCACAAAGATGAACGCTGCAGTCGCCACGAAGATCAAGAACTCGTATTCCACTCTGAAGCTGCCAGGAAAACTCGACACAGCAACGAAAGTTATGAAGGTCATAATTAGCTCAACAAGCTTAAGCCATCCCTCTGTTGTAGTCACGATCCACTGCAAATCGCAGCAGCGGCTACCTGCTAGTTGTCGTGGATTCTCTTCATGATCAGCCATATTTGCTGAAGACGCTAAAGGCACATCCCCATGGTGAGGACGGGCGGGCCTTGAAACTACTTTCGATTCAGAACTCGTTTGTAATGTACTTCCGGGAGTGCAGGCCTACAATTGTGGGTAAAAGACAAGGTAAGGCAGGTGAAATAGTATTCGCGTCTGGCGTGTGCGCAAAAGCACAAATTTGCCCCAACACTTTTGTCCATGATTGTAGGTCAGCACTTTAACTCTCCAGTCAATTGCTTTCATCACTTTTATTTTGAATTTCTTTGTCCTTCGTTGGTCAGTAAGCAACAAATATGAAATTGGATTGGAGAAATTTTGAGTGCAAACGTTTCGCATTCCCAGATGGCTTCGAGCACTGGCGTCATGGTGAAGTAGTGCGAAGTTATGCTCTACATAACAGAACGAATTTAAATTCTTGAAATTCTGCAGGTCTATATCTTAATGAAATGACGAACTTACAGCTCTGATCACCTTCACCTATCTGTTTCGTGACTAGGTGTCACATATGGCCTGTAAAGGGCACTTCCATTCTTCTCCGAGGGTGTGACAGGGGTGTTCTCGTGATGCGTGATTAGCTAATTTTATTTTCCGTGAAGCGTGAATTTAAGAAACTATTCTTCGTGATTTCACTATAAAAGTTAGCGTTAAAAAACGTCAGTTTCGATCCGGACCTTTCGACGGTCATTTTCAAGTTGAAAGTAAAATTTTTGTACGCGCTCAAATATATACAATCGATTATAAGAATGCTAATGGGAAACTGACTAAAACTCTTAGAAAAAATGCAAGAAAATTGTGGCATGATTGATAAAGAAAACCCTAAGGCGATAGAAACGATATAAAAAGTCAAATAATTAAGCAAATAGCTTTACGCGGATCAAGTCACTCTGTTCAGTTTTGGTTTCAGTTTACGAATAAAAAACATTTCAAAAATCAAACAGTCAAGTTTACTCTGACATTTTTTCAAAATCTCGAAATTGCTTCCAATGGTCTCCGGATCCTTTCCGTGCTCATCCTTTACGAGGTTACTGATTGTTGATCGCTTATGTTCCTCCAGTAGTTGATGCAGGTGTCGACTCGTGTAATAATAAACAACGCTTTGTTGATTCACAATTGGAGGTTTATGTTCCTTTGCTTTGAAAATGACCGTCGAACGGTCGAAACGTTGTTTTTTAACGTGACTTTTCTAGTGAGATCCGTTTCAAAACATATGTTTATTCTTCTTGATCCGTGACTTAAAGGTTTTGCCTGAACCGTGAAGAATTTGAATTATTGAGTGATGTTCGTGATTTCATCACTCTATTCTACGTGATTAATACTAAATCTTCCTTCGCAAGATTTAGTATTAAAGACTGATGTTTATTCGGGCCGTTACAACACGAAGTGGACGAATGGTTAGAGTCGTCCATCGAGAGTGAGTCTTTTCTTGGCCTTTCACGATTTTGCTTTCTTCAAACACTCTTTCTAGCGTAAGAACAGGTTATTAAAGAGTATCTTACTTGCTTATTTTTGTGA